AACATTGTGGTGAAAAAAACACACGTTTAATCCATGTTGGTGTACTACAACTACAAAAAGCATCGGTTTGTTTTCTCATCAGGAAATGCAGACCGGCACAAACAAACGATTTTTAATCATCATTCTCACGATCATTTAATCTATCATATGTTCGCCGAATTGACACGAAAGCACTAATACATGTAGTTTCATCCACTTGAGTTTACAACTACAAAAATAATCGATTTGTTTTTATATCACATCCTACGGGAGGAAATTCAGTAGCTCTCACTACCGATTTTTAATCCTAATGTAATCATCATCTTCACCACGATCATTTATGTTTATGTTCGCCGAATTGACATGAAAGCACTGACAAATATGAATATACTGTAGTCAACTTAATTAAAACGTTATTAACGTGCCTAAACTCAGTAATTCACCATTTCTACGCATGACAACACACTTTGTCCGTGTTTGGCTCTCTCGCCGCACAGTGAAGCGTTCCCGCATTGACGTCACTTCCGGCTTCCTCCAAAACTTCAAAATGAGTCGAAGGAATTTCCCGCGATGTTCGAAATTATTGATATTTAACGGAACGGTATGGCTTTTTCTTTTTTAAACTGACGGTTCGAGATTACTAGTAGCCCAATATTTCATTGCACAACAGTTGTTGGGATGCTGTCACAGGCTCTTTAAGACAACAGGGTATTCGCCTGGCAACTTATCTGGACGATTGGCTCCTTCTCGCACAGTCGGAGCAGGAGGCTATTACGCAGACGAATGTCCTCGTAAAACACCTGCTCGACCTGGGTTTCGTAATAAACACAGAAAAGAGCATGTTGTCCCCAGCCCAGACTGTACTCTTCCTGGGCCTACGCCTAAATTCGGTGCCCTTTACAGCCCGCTTGTCAGCAGAGAGAGTGAAAGCCTTCAGGGCTTGCCTCGCTCATTTCCAGCCACGCAAATATGTTCTCTTCAGGTCATGTCTGCGGTTGCTGGGGCTCATGGCGTCAGCCATTCTGGTGGTACGACTGGGACGCTTACACATGAGGGAGTTTCAGCGCTGGGTAGCTGCCCCTCAGATTGGACAGATTGGTTATGGCGCGTGGAGAGTGATGGTCACTATGAAATGCGTAATGGCACTGCGCCACTGGCTACACCCGACTTTTCTAGTACGGGGCGTGCCTATGGGTGCTGTCCTATCGTGGAAGGTGGTCACCACAGACGCATGTCTGACGGGCTGGGGGGGTATATACACGAAGGTCGACCTGTGAGGGGTCTCTGGAGCAGACACCTCCAACGGTCACACATAAATTATCTGGAGCTTTTAGCGGTGTTCCTCACCCTGAAACGCTTTCTGCCTTTTCTCAGAGGACATCATGTCCTCGTGAGGACAGAAAACACGACCACAATATCGTATATAAACCGCCAAGGGGGTTTGCGTTCTCTCCAGTTACACATGCTGGCACGCAAACTGATCTTATGGAGCTGCGGACATCTCCTCTCTCTGAGAGCGACGCACGTACCAGGAGTGATGAACCTCGGGGCAGATCTGCTGTCCAGAGGTGCACCACTATATGCAGACTGGACTCTACATCCAATAATTGCGAGTCAGCTGTGGGTGCGTTACGGCCGAGCCGCGGTAGATCTGTTCGCATCAAAAGAAAATGCTCAATGTCAGCTGTTCTTTTCAATGCACGATTTAAACGCACCGTTAGGCGTGGACGCGCTCGCGCACGTTTGGCCTCCGGTCCTTCTGTACGCGTTCCCACCCCTGGCTCTGATACCCCCAACTCTGGCCAGAGTGAGAGAACAATGCCAAGGCAAGGCAAGGCAAGGCAAGTTTATTTATATAGCACTTTCCAACACCAGGCAATTCAAAGTGCTTTACAAAAAATGAAAGAGATTAAGAAAATGGCATTTAAAATCAGTCATTAAAAAGAAAAGCTAATAAAATAAACATTAAAAGAAAAAATACATGGATAAAAGTTACAGTGCAATTAAATGCCACACACTTATCCTGATAGCTCCGCACTGGCCTGCAATGTACTGGCTGGCGGAGATATATCAGCTGCTGTGCGGGCTGCCGTGGCAGCTCCCACTACGCAGGGACATACTGTCTCAGGCGGGGGGGACGATCTTTCACCCACACCCAGAGCGCTTGGCACTATGGGCCTGGCCCGTGAGTGGTACATTCTGAATACAGTGGGGCTCCCTCAGAAGGTGATAAACACTATTCAGAGTGCAAGAGCTTCCTCCACCAGGTCTCTCTATGACTGTAATGGCGCGTTTCCACTGCAGGCCTCGCTCGGTTTGGTTAGGCCTTATTAGGCCCGGCTCATGTTAATGCTGCGCTTCCATTACAGTTTAGGAACTGGGGCAGTTACTATAGTAATGCAGTATAGGCGGAGCCGTGACGTCATCTTCAATGAGAGCCCCAGAAAAACAACACAGCCGTTAGCTCTTAGCACTCAGAGCTCACAGCTCCTCATATCTGTTCAGAAACTAGACAAAAGTTAAACAAGTACAAACCACAGACTGCCTGTGTCATGGCGAATACAGTCGCTGGTTTATTTATGTCTGTATAGGCCGTTATTGTGAGTGTGGACGGTCGGAGCATATATAACGTTAGCTTAGCCAAGCTCCATTTAGAAAACACGCATTTTAAAAGGGTTTTTCGCCTGCCGTCTGTCTGCAGACTTGTCAAAGCATTAATTCATGGTTTTTACTAACCGGTATCAGTATGTTGTTACTTCGGCATCATTTTGAAACGTGTATTACAATTAAATCACGGTCAAATATGTTCATCTTGTTGTAGTTGTAGCCCCCTTGCCAGCGATTCTCTCTCTAGTTTAGCATACTCAGCCCGACTCAGCCTGGTTGTTCCTGGCCCTAGAACCACGATTTAGTCGGGCCAGAAAAAAGGTGAAAAGGTAGCCCCGGGCCAAAACTAGGCCAAGTGGAAACGCAACCAAAAACGGGCCCCGCACGGCTCGGCACGCTTAAAGCGAGCTACCCGCTGCAGTGGAAACGCACCATAAGTGGAGGGTGTTTGAGGAGTGGTGCCTTCAAAAAGGACACATCTCTTTTCAATGTCCTGTCGGGGTGATTTTATCATTTCTACAGGACTTAATTGATAAACACAGAGCTTTCTCTACGATCAAAGTGTACCTGGCTGCTATTGCTGCATGCCATGTGGGCTTTGAGGGAAAGACGGCTAGCCAACATCCTTTGGTCTGCCGTTTTATGAAAGGGGCTCGCAGGCTCCTCCCTGTTTCCAGGTCACTGGTGCCCTTATGGGACTTGGCAGTGGTTTTAGATGGGCTCACTCGACCTCCATTTAAACCCCTGGAAGAAGCTGACATGAAACACCTGTCACTGAAGACAGTGCTGTTACTGGCTCTGGCATCTGCCAAGCGAGACAGTGACATTCATGCGCTCTCTGTACATCCTTCATGCACTCAGTTTGCCCCGGGGCAAACGAGAGTGTTGCTGAAGCCCAACCCTGCCTTTATACCTAAGGTGGTTGGCTCATGTACCCCCATTGACATTGTAGCATTTCCTCCGCCGCTGTGTTCCTCTGAGGAACAGCGGCCGAATTTGCTGTGTCCAGTTCGTGCTTTACGCATCTATATGGACAGGTCAAAAGAGTTTCGTTGTAATGACCAACTCTTTATATCCTGGGCTAACCCTCAGAAGGGCAAGCCCGTTACCAGGCAACGGCTCTCCCACTGGATTGTGGAAGCGATTGCTCTGGCTTATACGAGTCAGGGTTTGCAGGCACCAACGGGCCTGCGTGCTCATTCTACTCGTAGACTGGCTACATCCTGGGCTTTGTTCAAGGGTGTTTCCATACAAGACATTTGTGCAGCAGCGAGCTGGTCCTCGCCGCTCACTTTTGTCTGCTTTTACAGGCTAGATGTCTCTGCTCCAAGTGTGGCCAGCGCAGTGCTGGGCCCCGTGTTGAGACAGGGTTCTACCTGTTAAGTTCTGGTTATTTTGGTGATTTTCGAGAAAAGCATGTCTAGCAATACGGGAGTTTCAATATCCCATAGTGAGACATCGAACAGAGTGTTATGAATGAGAACTATAGGTTACTTACATAACCCCAGTTCTCAGAGTAACATGAAGTGAGATGTCTCACCCTTCTTGCTAAGGCGAAGCAAGAAGAGGTGCTTATTTTGAATGACGCTGCGTCGTAGCGCAAGCTACTTAAAGGGTGGGTGGATTCCCTGACGTTGACGTCAAGATCACCAGCCAATCAGGATTGGTGTAATGAGATTGATGCTTCTGTTTGCATACGCATTGAGGCGCATCTCATAGTGAGACATCTCCCTTCATGTTACTCTGAGAACTGGGGTTACGTAAGTAACCTATAGATTCTAATGTTGTGGAGGAACTGAAGGCTGGTGGGAAATTATACGACATGATTATTGACCACAGGCCTTCCTCTACTAATAGGGAGAGTGAAATACACACCCACTTCTCTCTCTGACGCTACTGTGTGGTGAGCTGCCCGTTAGCTGTGTGTAGTTTCTGATGTGCTTACTTACTGTGTGCTGCTGGCCTGGAATGACCTTCATCATTTGTTACTCTGTCGAGTACTTGTTTTATTAGAGTTGTTTACTCACAGACAAAGTGAGGCCAGGTTAGCTGAATGATCAGTTTGAGAGCTAATAACAGATAGGAGGGGTCGCTGTGTGTGTTAGAGGGGGGGGGGGGAGAGCAGGTGGACATGTTCTGCTCATAACGGGTTTTAAAATGCATTAATTAAAAAGACGTCAATGGAAGTTGTGGGTGTGTGAGAGAGAGACCGAGGCAGAGAGAGAGAGAGCAAATGAGTGTTGATCAATAAAGTGTCAGCTGTACTGTAGGCCTATGCCGTGATTGCATGTCAGCTTCTTATGTTACATTGCAGTAAATGATACCCCCCTGCCTGGATGACTGATAGGAGCCTGTACATTTCAAATACAGTGTGCAGCTCCTCCCCTTAATAAAAAAAAGGAAAAGGTCTCATATTTCCCCATTTCCTCTTTTCACCCACAACCTTCTCTTCCCGTTATCACGCACACTGCTTCTCTGCAAGAACAGCTTAAACAAGGTGGGTCCCTTCATGTTTTTGTAAATATCCCTGCTTCTAGCATGCAGCTGAAGTCATTCTGCCTCTTTAAATCTGCTTAGCTGTAGAGTAAAATCTGTTTTGATTCTCTCTCTCCTCCCACATCCTAAAACAGTGTTGCAATGGAGGGAACTGAGTCAACAACAAGAGAGAGATCAACAGCAAAGGATGGGAACAAGGCAGCAGACCAAGAGGTGCTGATGTCCAGCAAACCGCTGCATCGCTTCGTCCAAAGAGAGCCCAGAGATGTTGGGGTAACAAATCACACAATCCAGAGCCACAGAAACTAATGTTACATGTTTACACAATGAGCAGCTGCAAACTCTTACTCTACTGTAGGCACTTGAATCCATCCTTCTCCTCCTCCCCAGATTGCCATTCTGATCTTTGGCTGTGCCGAGGTCATGATGGGATTTACGCTGTCCGGGGAGAGGGATGCGTTTACTTCTTTTGGAATCTACACTTCCTTCTGGCAGGGAACTCTGGTACATGACATGTAGCACACACATGCATTGTCTTCACAATTACCATGTACATTTTTTCAAATGTCTCCTTGGTTTCTAAAGTTAAAAGTTCACAATTTTTGGAAATATACTTATATATATCCTGCTTCTCATCCAACTCACGACAAAATAAGGAACAAGATCAAATACGCCTATTTCCCAGTTTTACTCAAGTTCAACCGTTATTAGCACTTGTGTCATATTGAAAATCATTTTTTTAAAGATGTTAAGGGGGACAGGCAAATAGACAGACGATATTATTGTTTTCTCCACTTAAGTCTTTATTGCATTTCTGAAGGAAATTAAAAAAGACATCCAAAATGTCACTCCAGTTGAGGAAAGTTTTCTACAGCTACAATGGTGATAAACATATATAAAAAAAAGGTCATACAGTCATCTAAATGTTTCTTGGGGTGAATGTCAAAGTAAGAATTATTATTTGATTTGATTGTTCTCAGTTTCTTGTCTGTGGAAGCCTGTCTATCTACACTGAGTTACGTCCATCCAAGAAGATGGTAGGTATATTGTGATTTTATGATCTATAGTGGTTATAACTTTATTTCGTCACTGTCAGTCTCTCCCTTTCTTTACTCAATAACTCATCCCATGTTGTTGAACCTCTCTCTTCCAGGTGACTGTGTGTTTGTCTATGTATGTGGTTTCCCTTCTTGGGATCATTGTCTCTTTAGTCTACAGGATACGTATTTTCTCCTATTTAAGGTACCTTACGTTCTATCGGAGGGAGTCTTTAAGCCTGCAAAGATTGGTGAGTTACAGACATGTGATCGACACTACATGGACACTTATCCGCATTGTATGAATAACTTCCTCTTTCTTCTGCTTCAGCACCAGATTTGTGCGATTGAAGCCCTTTTGTTCACTTGCTCTCTGTTTGTGGCGGGTCTTCTCATCTTCTTGTGTGTCATCGCACGTTTGGCTCTCAAATCCACACGCACTCAGGTACAGAATTTTTCATCGTTTCTCCATCTGAAACATTCCTTTACCACTGAGTGTGTAGGGGTTCACAAAACGAACTTTTGAACAGCATTACATTTGCACATGAAAATGTTAATGAAAACTTCAAATAAAACATGAAAGATAAAAAAGAATGAGAGAACTGGAGAAAGATATTCTGGACGATCTCTTTGGCAACGAAGCAATGTCTATTTGTTTCCCCTATATTCCTGTTGGCAATGACCCGCCCTCTTGTGTTGTTAATCTTAATAATAATAATAATAATGATAATAATAAATGTATTTTGTAAGCGCTTTTACAGGTGCTCAAAGTCGCTTTACAGAGATAGTGAAAAGAAAAGAACAACAAATAAATGTAACATGTAATGTAATAAATATAGTTAAAGTCAAATTAAAATCAAGCAATACAACAACCATCACACATTAAAAGAAAGCCAGATTGAAGAGGTGAGATTGTGTACGTTTTTTGAAGGTATGGTCAGTGCAGTCTCTGATGGGTTGTGGGAGTGAGTTCCAGATAGTAATCCCTCCCAAATTCATTCATATAACGTTAATGTCACTCAAAGAGTTGCTGACTGAATAAAAGTCCAGAATGTAATGTCTTTCTATTTAACCAGAAAAGCCTAATTGAAATGATGCAGCATTAACAAAGAGTAAAGCGACACCATGAGACAGATATCACTTCAGTATTAAACAATTAAACAGACATGCAATAAAATAATAGAATCATGATTGATATAATGTCCAGTACACAAATAAATGAGTCCTAAAGACCATCTAAATGGGACCTCAAATACAAACAATACATCTGATCAGTTATATTCACTGTTACCGCCTCCTTCCCTAACACATGCACCCTCCGTATCTTCAACAGATTATTGTCCGGCACATCCCGGCTCCACCGACCGACACGACTGCAACTTAATCTCATCCTTGTGAAGTATTATCGTTATAGTAGTATCCATAACACTGGTTTTCCTGCAGCACACTAACTCCTGTACAGTATATCACATGTGAATGTTACACCCACTAGTAGAGGCTCATCTTTAAGCCCCAGCTTCTTCTCTTAGCACAGTACATGTTACTGCAGTAGGAAATGCATTATAACCACATTTATTTGCTTTTGTTAAAGCTTGTTTTGGAATCTAAAAGATTACTGTCTTCTCATGTGAGAAAAAAATGTGACATGCACTTAAGGGATTAAAGTAGCCACTATTATCTGAAGGAAAGCTTATATGTATTTACTGTACGAGTCATACAGTAGTAAACTAAAGCTAAGGCCATTACTTTGAATTAAAGCCTCGAGGCAAACAGGGCTGATACTGATCACTGATACATACACCAATATGTAAAGTATTGTAACAGTACTGTTATTGTAATTTATATAAATATAAAGAATTATATCAAAATACATCAACATATGTGATTATTATCTACATTACCTGAATTATTTTTAATGTGCAGAAAATGAGCATCGTTTCGAACTGCAGCTTTTGATAATCATTGTGAACTTCTTCTTATTACAGAAACATGCATTTCCAAAGATTTGGTCTACCGATGCTGTAAAATGCATTATCTTTTCAATTTACACACGGCATCTATTGCACGTCTGTCTGTCCTGGGAGAGGGATCCCTCCTCTGTTGCTCTCCCTGAGGTTTCTCCCATTTTTTCCTTTAAGAGGGTGTCGTTTTTCTCACACTGATTTCCTGAACAAACATTGCTGTTGTATTTGCTGTAAAGTGTCTCTACTGTAGGCTATTTTTATTATATGTACAGCACTTTGGCTCGACCAAAAATCGTTTATAAATGTGCTATATAAATAAAACTTGAATTGATTTGATATATTTGATATACTGAGCTGCAAATATTTCTGCTTTGTGATTTAGTTGCAGCACAGCAGATCCACCTGGGATTGCCACTTTAGAAGAATTACAGTATGTTTTAATACATTTGGCTTTTTATATCCTCGGACACAAACATCCAGCATTATTTTTTTAAGCTTATGACTTCAATATAGTTCACCATTTTCATCTATACGACTTTGAAACATGTTGCCACTTTGGGCCTTTGAATGTGTGAAAAACAAATATTTTTGATTTAGGTTGAGCTTATATGTGCACTAAATGTAATGTATATTGTCTTTGCTAAATAAACAATAAAATGAAATGATTCTCAGGTCGCTGATTATATTACACACATTTGTATCTATACACTAACAGTGACCACTCCACACAGACAGTGCACTATTGATTCATCATCATTGTTTATCATAGAAAGATAACAGTCTGTACCACTTTGAACACATTGTTAGATGGCAAGCAAATAATTAATCGGGGTCTTTGTTTTAGTTTTGAGTAGGCTACAAGTTAAAAGCTTAGCATTGAATTCTGATGTACACATACATTTAAGATAAGTTAGAAGTGAACTAAATCTGAAGGAATTTACAACATATTGAATACAAATAAACTATAATGTGATCCTTTCACCATTGCCTAAAAGATTAAGAGTTTAGGTACAAAAGATGATCAAATAAGTAATATTAATCCTTATGTTCCTATATTAGAAAATGTACAATTGAATACTTTTACTTACAGTTTAACATTTATATTTGTGTAACCAAACTGATCAGCATCAGCACATTTCAGTGTGCTTATTAGCTTCTGATCCTGTGTTGATTTTGAGATTAGATGACATAGAATTCTCTTAAAATGCTATCAGTATATCCCCATGAATGTTGTGTTTGTTGCACATTGTGGCTGCCTCATTGTCCCTCTGGGCCTGTACTAAGTAATGCATCCATGGTCACATCAACTGAGTTTAATGACATTGTTGACATTTTCTGTGTCCTCCCTGCAGGCAGGAGAATAGTATGCATCTTCTGGTTGGTCTCCTCAGAAATAGTATAGCGATATGCTGTAAAATTATGTGAAAGCATGAATAAAACTACACATCTTCAGATGTTGTACATACATAAGTGTCCTACACTAATAATGCAAAGTTATTATGGCTGTGTGTACCTTGTGTGCCTAGTGGTTAAAGCACGTTATTGAATTACTGTTTTTATGTGTTATATTTGATTAAAAAAATATTAAGAGTACATACTTTCATAGGGGGAAAGTAGAAGGTCTGTGATAGAAATATAGAATATAAAAAATCAAGAAGATACTATAAGTGATCTCTACAATAAAACAGTTTAGTGCAGGATGTACAAAGATATTAATAGGAGGAGGTGCAAAAGAGAAAAACGAATTAACCTTTATTTAAACATTAAATAATACTTTAGATTAAGGTCTTCTTTTAAATAAGAAAAAAAGCTTTGGGGGTATCTACAGATAAATATTAAGCCTGACAAAGTACTTAACGTCTAATATATTGCTTTCCTGCAATGTTAACTATGTTGAAGAATTTATTTTAACTGATATTATACATATGAATTATACTCTTATGTATGTAGATAGTATAATAAATGTGCAGAATATGACAGTTTAATGGTGGAGGTATAGACACATATTGATAGATGTCTTGTAATGCACTGTTGAGGAACCTGTGACCCAAGTTTTTCATTCATTGCATACACCGTAGTTGTGTATATGATATGCCAATAAACCTTTGAAAATCTTGAAATCTTGAAAGGGATGTGCAAAATAGCCATAATATACAGTCTTTAATGAACTATTAGTAGAGAATAACGAGTAATGAATATACTTTATTACTCGTTTCCATTCATGTCAATAAAAGATAAATGTTTAGTCTTCTCAAGCACCAACTATCAAATATCTCTCCTGATTGTTCGGACTTGACAATCACCTTACCTGAATTTTACTCAGGTGTAACTAAAGTCTGATTTAAGGGTTGTTTATATTTCACATCATTAATCAGAATCTGCAAAGTAACTCAAATAAGTGTAGTGGAGTAAAAATACCAGGTTAACCTCTGAATTGTAGTGGAGTTTACAAAGTAACAATGAGCTGTCATGTGGGTATATATTAATGCTGCGCATTATGGACACAAGCGATTTTCACCCATTTATTAATTATATGTTTTACATTTGATAACACCAATGTGTTTAATACTGGCAACTTCTAATTGTGGGAAAAACGAAAACGTTCAGTAGAGACGTCCCATAGAACATTTTGCGAAACACAATAGCCAGCGTGTAGTTCTTGGGGGGCGTTCGATTCCAGTTTTGGATAGTCTGGCCTGGTTTCCATTCCATTTCAAACAGCTGTTTGACGCTCGGCGTAACCTTGGCGCACTGCCACTCCAACATCCAATCCCAGAGCTTGAAGATTAATCACGGGGACTGTAGTCCTAAACGATAGCTGGGGATTATGGGTAGTGTAGTGTCTTCGGCCATCCTAAACTCCTAGAGGCCTACGTTTGTTTCCGGCAAGGATAATTGTGTGTTATTGGTGAGTAAATAACAATGTGCTATTTTGAAAAGAATAACAAATTAGAAGGAAAAAAAGATTTTAAAAATACAGATTTCAGTATTCTGAGGCTCTGAGCCCCATTTATATTCCTCACAGACGGCAACAAAAGTCCGAAATTATACGACTTAAAATAAAAGCAATAATTGTGGCTTGATATTGAGTAAGAACATGTTTTTATGAACCACACAGCTTCCAGTCTTCCACGACCCGACCGGAGAAAAAGACGTGCTGCAGGCACGAAACACATGACCAGTAGAAATACATTGCTTTTAAAATCGTGCTGTGCAACACGAAAAAAAGGGGGAAATCGTGGTGAACATGAATCAATAGATTAAAAATCGTGTTGGTGAACACGAAATGCCATGAGACTGGGTTGTGTAGCGTTAGCATTTCTCCCCAGGCTTAAGTTGTGTATTATAGAATGATCACACCGGTGTGACAGTAATAATAATAATAATAATAATGCATTTTATTTATATATCGCTTTTCATAACTCAAAGACGCTTAAATAGGTTAGGGTTCAAAGGGTTCACGAAATATGACTACTACTCTTACTGTTTAACATGTTGGGTTACTTAATGTTACTTCATGTTAAGGCTAATAAAAATGACAAGGCTGTAATGCTAACTAACATGCTAACTACTAGCTAGGTAGCTAACTTGATCCAGCCACTCCTGGTCCTTTCATCAGACGGGAAGCGAAAGAACGAGCAAGACCCAATGCTGGTATGATAACAACCTGGTACTAAGCACACAGGCATCTTGTTAAAGTTATCTTATAGATAAATATATATTATAGTCAGATATAGATTAAAGTTATCTTAGATAGATTCTATCTAAATATGGCGCTGATCTTAGCTATCTCTTAGAATTGGGGTCCTTCTCAGGTCGATTATTTTAATTTCCTCGGTATCACCGGAAGTTGATTTGTCTGCGCAATCTTGAGTACCGTCATGTAGTGGCGTTTTCTCCCGGAGGCCAGGGAAAGCCAGGCTCCCCCAGTTTTTCAGACCGTCGTCTGTGCTGCCATCTCTCCCTTATTGTCAGAATATTTTACAAAGAGTAAAACAGCGCCCCTCTAAATGTTACAGTCTATTTGGTGGATGTTTGGTGAAACACGATATTGCACTCACTGGTGCCCTAATGCATGGATGTATAATGCCACGGTCCAGAGGAGGCCACAAGAAAGTGGCTTCCTTTGGTGAAAAACTTTTAAGGAATTGACCAATCAGATGAGGGCCCTGTCTTGCCCTTGCCCCCCTTCAGGGGCGGACTGGCCATTGGGAATACCGGGAGTTTTCCCGGTGGGCCGGCGCTGTGCGTGGGCCAAAAATATTTTTTAAATGTTCTTTGCCTAAATCTTACCGGCCCACATTTGTAAGTGTTCCGGCCACACCCCTATGTTCTATCTATCAGATAGTTTAACTTTCACACATCAGGCACGTAGCAACTGTCACTGCGCAGTGAACGATCAGGAGTGAGTGACTGAGAGACCTAGCTGGCAGTTGCTTACAGATGGATAAACAAGCTCCAAAGCGTAAAGGCGTTTTTGTATAGTTTGTGTATACAGTATACAGTATTGTAGCGAGCCCTGGGTTCAGAGGGAGGGGCTTGCATAGGAGAGGAGTTGGCAGGGAAACGGGGTTCAGGGGGAGTGGCTGTACCCGTAGGATAGAAAAGGGGGAAGTGACGTCTGACTCAGAGGTCGCGCGGCTGTGGAGAAGAACGTGTTGCCCACATTCTGTTACTGAGTTTAGGCTAGTTAGCTAGCAGGTTTATTGTTTTGGGTGCAGTCACTTTTGCCTCCACTTGCTGTTCAAATAAATGTTGAAAGAAAAAGTAAATCTGTTTACAGTTCTGTTTCATATAGGTGTTGAGAGATGTATCCATAGATTTAGTCCCTAATTTTGCTCTCAAAGTGCACCAGATTGATGCATTTAACTTCAACATTTAAAAAAAATAATCCTGGGGAGCATGCCCCCGGACCCCCCTAGAGGAGGTGAGGTCCACCACCTGCCCACACCCCCTGTTAAATTGTCTCACCCACATTGAGGATGCTTCCTACGCCCATGTTTTATTCCATGTGTCAAGTCAGGCAAATTGGGTCCAAATGTTATTGCATCAATGATCTGTTAACATTAAAATGAATAAATATATGCTGTAACTATTTTGCTCTAGGCAACTCAAGGGCTCAGGTAATGTGATTACTATATGAATAATGGTCCAAAATAACATAAAATACATAGGTTTTTTTGTTAAGTAACATAGCTACTTTCGTTGCCGGCCGGCCGATACATGCCGCGCATTAAGTGGGCCTGTCTGTCAATTAATCCCCGGGCCACTTTTTCCTCCCAGTCCGCCCCTGCCCCCCTTTGATAGGTTAGGGTTTTCTGATACCTATCTTTCGTAGTGCATAACTTCCGCAGCTAGTTTGCGAGCTAAATATCTATTGATTCTAATGTTGTGGAGGAACTGAAGGCTGGTGGGAAATTATACGACATGATTATTGACCACAGGCCTTCCTCTACTAATAGGGAGAGTGAAATACACACACACTTCTCTCTCTGACGCTACTGTGTGGTGAGCTTCCCGTTAGCTGTGTGTAGTTTCTGATGTGCTTACTTACTGTGTGCTGCTGGCCTGGAATGACCTTCATCATTTGTTACTCTGTCGAGTACTTGTTTTATTAGAGTTGTTTACTCACAGACAAAGTGAGGCCAGGTTAGCTGAATGA